GCCCCGCCCGCCGCGTCCCCCGCCTCGGCCTGGCAGCTGGTGCCAGGGCTGGGGACGGAGCCCCGGGCCTGCGCTCTGAGCTACAGCCCCGCCCTTTTGATCTTTTTCGTTTCAGACTGGGTCTCCCTAAAGCGCTACAGGACCCAGATGGCTCAAATTTGCGCTCCTCCTGCCTCACCCAGGGTGCCGGGATGACGGCCCAGCTGCTTCTCACATTTTAACCCAAGTCCCTCTTGGGAATCCACCCCCTTGCCTCCCTTTTCTTCCTTGGCTCATTCTCCTAAAATCCTCTCCAAACGGAAGCACTGGGGAGGCTGAGACAGGAGGATCACCACTAGTCAGAGACCAGCCTGGGCTACATAGCGAGACCCTGTCTCAAAATAAACTTTTAAAAAATTAGATAAATAAATAAATAAATAATAAGAGGCCCCAGAGACCTCTCCCTCCTTCCCAGGTGAGAGACCACCTGAGCCATCTTCTGCCTCGGCTCTCTGAGGGCTGCGAACCCTCCGCCTGGTGTGGTTGTGGTACAGCAGTAGGGACATCATCCATCTGTGCTGCCCGTGTCCCTCCCTGGCATCCCGCGTCCACGGGGACACAACTGTCCCCGCCCCTGCTCCGAGTCGCTTGTACTGTTTATTATTTGTTTATTTATGTGGAGCTGGAGATGGAACTCAGGGCTTTCACACTGAGCTACATCCCCAGCCCTTTAAAAATATATGTATTTTTTCAGTCAGGGTCTCATTACCTGGCCAAATTGTCCAGGTGTGGCTTGAACTTGCAGTCTTCCTGCCTCAGCCTCCCCGAGTGCCCCGATGACATGCGTGTGCCACTGTGCCTGGCTCCTTCTGCGCCCTTGCGTCCCCAGCTCCTGGTGGGGACCTGCTCACAGTTGCATCCCTTTTGGGGAGCTAGGGTTAGGGGACAGAGACATAGGAGGACAGGACCCTTTGGCATATGCTATGTGGAAGGGCAGCTGTACCCTCTGCCTAGAAAGACCTCCCTTTCCTGCCCTCCCACGGCCGGCCCAGTCGTCTTCTCCCCAAGGACCAGTTTTTGATTTGTTTGGGTTTTTTGACACAAGAGTCTCCGCCGGGTGTGGTGGTGCACGCCTGTAATCCCAGCACTCAGGAGGCTGAGGCAGGAGGATCATTGCAAGATCGAGGTCAGCCTGGGCTACAAAGTGAGCTCAAGGCCAGCCTGAACTGTGTATCGAGATCCTGTCTCAAAAAGACAAAA